TTTTTTTCGAGTTTTAAGGAAAATTTGATGCAAATTCGTTGATCCGATCTTTCCCTCATTTTTCACAACAGCAGAATGCGACGAACGTAAAAAACGCTTCGCAAAGAAATGCACGTTGCACATGAACTAAGGCGATTGCACACGAACTAAGGCGTCCCGACGAAAACTGCGATATCGTGAGAGTTCGTAAAGCTTTACAGTTAATACTCATACCCGGCAAATGACGCTAAAATTGTCAGGTGCGAAGAAATTAAAGAAGGTCGGATACTTTTGGGACAGACCTCGTATTTGTAGAAGCCGAAGACCGCGGAGCGACAGCCGCCTCCACCCGCGAATCCACCGGCGGCCCCGGACACCAGTATTAATAGTAATAAATAAGTAGTTAAAAGCAACTCCGTGTTCTCTTTTAACCCGCGAGCAGTCCCCTTCCTTCCGCGATCGGCCCCCTCGCGTCGACCCTGGCGCGTGACCTATTATAAATTGCGTTATATTTTTAGCTATTATTTTATGTATTGTTTGTAGTTAATTATTTCTTCTATTGTGTTCGCAATCGAATTATTAATTTAAGGATATTAGAATAGCCCAACCGTTAGACGAAAAACAGTGGCCGCTTTTGTCAGAGAGTCCGACAGCTACCGAGAGCAAAAACGGGCTAGTTTTTGCGGAGTCTGACTCACTCTCACGTTTCGGGGTCTCGGTACAAGAGACAGACCGTGGGAATGAGAGAGAGACCCCAAATAAACAGCTGATCGGCTGTTAGCTTCGAAGACAGCAAACGACAGTTTCTGAAAATTCGGAATCCGTGGAGGCGAACGCTGATTGGCTCCGCCGGCCTGCGACATCGTCCACGGAGGTCTAGAACCTTCTGCGGACGACGATATAAAATAACCACGGACGCCCGAGCGCAGTTAGTTCCAAAATTCCGATATAGCGTTAAGAAGCGAATTGCGAAGCGATAATTTACGCGGCTTGCGTTGTTCTTGAGTAAACTACTTTGTCGGTGGCTAACGGCGAACGACTAGATTAATTTCTTTCGCGTGGCCATATTTATTCGTAGACATATTGAAACAGTTATAATTTGCGTATCTAAAAATCATTAAAAATGCGATTTAACGGGAAAACTTGTGAGAAACTAATTAATAATAAATCAAAGCGTATTTTTATTAATCAAACTAATATATATTTGCTACTAAATAAAGCGTAATAAAAGAATAACTACTTTTTGAGCGGGAAAAACCCATGACTCTCTGGGTATAAAAGGGCATGCAGCAGCGGCTGCGAGCGCAGAACAATCTTTGAAGTAGTACGTACAGTAAATATTACAGTTGAAAAAGGTACATAAGAAAGATAACAAGTCGTGTTATGTTTTGAGTACATGTGTCAAACGTTTCAGAAAATTATTAGCACGAAATCCGAAAAACGTTCGTACAAAAAAGATGACGGTCACTGATGAGTATCACTGCCGTTACTATGTGAAGTTTTTACATGTTTAGTTATTCTTTAATGTAAGGTTAAATGAATGGCCAAAACCTTATCCTTCAAGGGCGTGCAGCAGAGGCTGCGAGAGTAGAAAAATCTTTGAAGTACTACGTGCCAGACCTCTTGAGAAGCGACGAACTGGAGCAGTTTTAACTGGTAAGAGCCTACAAGATTCTTAGTTTTGACTGGACAGCGGGTATCAGCCATTTGGATACTCGATCGTTGGGTAGTTCTAGTAGCCAGCTAACGCAGGCTCCCCGTTCAAACGGTCTTGTATCTGAAACTACGTAAAGAGAGTGCTATGCTCAGCCCCAGAAAGAACTAAGACATCAATGAGAGCTCTCCAGTCACTCACATATATTTCTTATTTTTTTCTGAGTTATTAACTCGCCGTCAGATTCTCAGAGTTCGCACTGGATAGTTTAGTAGCCAGCTAACGCAGCCTCCCCATTATTGAGCGGCTTGGTCTCTGAAGCCCGTGTCTTTTGCGTGACGTTTCGGTAACTTCAATAAATAATTAAAGTCGAGTCATTTTTATTTACAACCCTGTTGGTCACACGTCGGTCACTTGATTCTTGCATCGTTGGGTAGTTCTAGTAGCCAGCTAACGCAGGCTCCCCAATTAAGCGATCAGGTTTTGGGTGCCGATTTACGCTCCCACAAAAAGGGCCATGAAACTAATTAGTTTAGAGTCAAACAAGAAGTAACTGTTCTACGTCCAATACAAATTTTAGAGTTTTGTAATTAACCAAATATTGTTCTGTCAGTTTTGTTAGGATCTAGATCCATTAGAAAATTGCGTTATATTTTTGCGTTGGGTATATCATTATAAAACCGCGTAATTGAAGTGGTTAGCTACCGTTCTGCGATTTGCGACAACAAGTCTATTATACTCCAATTTGCTTATAGAATTCAGTCATACATACATTTTTATATTCGCTAAAGAAATTGTTAATTATAACTCTCTTTCACATCATTACTTGAATAAACCTAATTAATGAAAGGTATTAACCTGTAGATTTCACTCTTTAACCACACACCATCACGATCCCACATTCTTTTAGAATTAGTTATAATAAAAACGAGTCGCTTAATAGGCAAAAGCCGTTCTTTTGCTTCATAAGTGCTGTAAAATACCTGAGTCTAGTCGCAGGGACGTTACACGTGTGACAACAGTTGTGGCGATATTACCACAATAATACGTATAACGGTATTGCTTGAGCATCTTCAATAAAAAATCGCATTATATCGATTTATTTTTGCAAAAAAGTCTAAGAACATATTATGCACGTTCTATGATTCTGCATATTTTAGATTTCTTTCAGAGTTGTTCGAACGCGAACTTAGAACTTTGACGCGAGTAAGGAATTTATTACAGGGTTCAAGTAGTTCGACACGTAGACTATCGTGAATAGTTTTGTACCTCCAAATGCGGGTCGCCGAGGACCCTTTTGACAATCAAGTCCTGTCCGGAGCGGTTTTAGCGTAAACATGTGCTTGGCATAAATCGGCTGACGGCTATACATTCTTTTCCGCATAGTTTTAACAAATAGAATCATAGATTTTTCTTAACTGTTATTCTCTGAAACGCGAGGGTGTTCGGGCGATTTTTATATATCAAATTGGTAGTCGATTGTTGAGTCTTGTGCGATCAGAATGAGAGTTAAGAAGTTCCGCGTGGAGTAACGTAAAAGATCCAACACAAAGTGGATATATATATTATATATATACAGGGTGTTCGATAACTGGTGGTACAAGCGAAAAGGG